AAAAATCATATTTTATGGATGTGATTTATGCAAGAAAAAAAGTTAAAGAGCAATCAAAGAAGACCATACATTGGGCCACCAACAGAAGACTGGCAAATAAATGCACATTGCGTAATTCTGGTTGAAGTGTTTGGTATGTTTCATTTGTTCCATCTTTGACTCTTCAATGTAACTGATTATTTACAATCTAATCAATATGTCTTGATGAAACTGTACTTATCAGCAAAATAATCTAAATTAAGATTAAAATACCCTTGGCTGGGCATGGTGGCTCACGCCTATAATCCCAGCACTTTGAGAGGCTAAGGTAGGCAGATCATTTGAGGTCAGGAATTCAAGACCAGCCTGGCCAACATGGTGAAACCCTGTCTCTACGAAAAATACAAAAATTAGCCAGACATGGTGGCACGCACCTGTAATCCCAGCTACTTGGGAGGCTGTGGCACGAGAATTGCTTGAACCCAGAAGGCAGAGGTTGCAGTGGGCCCAGGTTGCACCACTGCACAGCCTGGGCAACAGAGCAAAATTCAGTCTCAAAAAAAAAAAAAAAAAAAAACTAACTAAAATACCCTCTCTAAAGGAATATTATTAACATGTAGCTGAAAGAGTAAGCTGACTTACTAGAACATCAAACAAACTCTTCTGACAGAACATTCTGTCTACCGAATAAAAAAATGGAGAAAGATTACTAAGCTGAAACTTAAGTTAAAACAACAAAACCAAAACACTCCTGGCTCTGACCATGAACAGGATTAGAGAAAATGGTGACGAAATCATTACCTTATCAACTTTTCATAACCTACAGTGGCTCATCAAAAGTTTATTGGCAGAAAGGAAACAGAAAACAAATAAGCACTAAGTTACTGGGCTAAAAAGAGGGCGAAATGGTAAACGGAGGAATTAAAAAGCATTTAAGTTGCAAACTGGGAGGCCTGACACAAGATTCACAAAACATGTACTACTAGGCACAGATAATCAAGAATCAATAATTCCAAATACTGAGTAAAGAAATGGTAGCCAAAAGAAAATACTGTATTTCGCTTTACCTTTTCTTTATCTTTGTATAATGATCTTAAAGTATTGAAGACTGGTGGGCAACCCTTGCTGAAATTCATCCTTAGGAACTTATCCAAACATTCTTTAAACTTCTCACCTTGGAAGAGAAAAATCCTTTTGGCTTATATTTATCAAGTATGTACTTACATTTACCAACTTACATTTAGTAGAGTTGTCAGACAACTGTAACAATGTATAGTTCAACCTTAATATGCATATTCATACTTAAAACCAAGAAAAGAAACTAAATCATAAAAGCATTTTTATTCCTTTGCAATTATTCTCACCAGATAAAAAGTTTAACGGCAGCCTTCGTGGCACCAGTCCCCTAGGATATTTAGTCCAGGCCTCCTCGTAAATTTTTAGCCGTTCTAACATATTAGCTGCAGACAAAAAAAAAAAAAAAAAATTCTTCGTTATATGTGATTATAAATTGTATATTTTTTTCCTGGAAAATTACAAATTTCTCAAATTATATTAAAATGCTAATATTTAAAAGAAAATTGGAATTATTTGTAATCATATCTAATATTTCAACAATCATTTTAGGCTATTTCTTTTCAATTTTTTTATCTTAAATACATAATTATCTTTACCCTGTTCTGCTTTAGGTAGGTTTTTAAAACCTGAGAGCTCCTCTAGTTCTGAAAAGGCCTTGCTTATCATGTTTCCACATATTGCTTCTCCTACTATTCTCTTCCTCTAACACCTCTCCTATGATTTTGGCCGTGGCCTCACTTCCATTCAATTAAAATTTTTATTTCAGTAAGCAGGTTTTTCATTTCAGATTCCTAATTGGTACTTCTAACTATTCATGTTTCACGGCAGCAATTCTCTCTATCTTAAATTCCTCCATCATCTCTACTCTTCCTTTTGCAGACAATTGTGATTACCTTCCTTGCTGGTGTTCCTAAAACAGTCTGAGAATCTTTGTTACAAAGTAATCTGCAACATGAGGTTTCTCTTGTATATTTCAATGGCTCACAAACAGCCTTGAAGGAAACAAATCAGATAATCTCTGCAAAGGATCCTGCCTATTTGTTTTTGTGCCTGTTCCCACAAGTGGACCCCATTTATGGGAGAGGGTGACTGGGGGAGCACAGAGAGTCTGAATGTAAGTTTGAGTGACAGAAATTTAAAACCTCTTCCCAAAAAGGAACAGTGATGCTCATTCAGCTTGGCTACATTTATGTGACCCTGGCAAGTCACTCTGATGCAGCCACATCTTACCACAGAGCTTATGCTTGCTTTTAGGAATATAGTTCCATTTCTGTCAGTGGAAACTTCCTTTTTTCTAAAAAGACAGAGTTGCCATGTTGCCCATGTGGAACTCAAACTCCTGGGCTCCAGCAATCCTCCTGCCCAAGCCTCACAAAGTGCTGGGATCACAAGTGTGAGCCCCTACACCTGAAGTCCTTTCATGTTTTTGATGCTACTATACATTCGTGAATTTTTTTCTAAATTTGTTTCTAAAATCATTTCTTCAACCACTCTATAAATTTGCAGAAGAGAGGTTTCAGAACATGCTCAATCTGTCGTATTAAAGAGAAGTTTGAAAATGTACTTTTGTATTCCAATTTTTTTTTTTTTTTGGAGAGAGTCTCACTCTATTGTCCAGGCTGAAGTATCGTGGCATTGTGTTGGCTCATTGCAACCTCCACTTCCTGGGTTCAAGCAATTCTTGTGCCTCAGTCTCCCGAGTAGCTGGAACTGCAGGTGCACACCACTGCGCAGGCTAATTTTTTGTATTTTAGTAGAGACAGGGTTTCACCATGTTGCCCAGGCAGATCTCAAACTCCCTAGCTGAGGCAATCTGCCCACCTCAGCCTCCCAAAGCGCTGGGGTTACAGGCGTGAGCCACTGTGCCTGGCCTTTATTCAGATTTTGAACCAATTCTTAACCACAGTTACTGTAGTTGTGTTTTTCAGTGAGTAAATAAAAGATACATTAACAAAAGAAGCAATAAAACTTAGTAAGTTTTAAACAATACTACCTGGCTTGAGTGCTTTTTCCAAGCCTTTGTAATAGGCCCAGTTTTCAGGATTTCTCTCTTGCAATCCTCTATAAACATCTGCAGCATCTTCCAAACGACACAGTTGTAACAGAAGTTCCCCTGATTAAAAGCAGGAAAAAAAATTAAATATCTGAGAAAATCTTCTAATTAGAATTTTAACTTTTCCTCAAATTTTCTCTTAAAATCTCATTATAAGTCAATGTGCTAAGTGGACAGATCTGGTATCCTCCTGAGTTCCCAGTTCCCTTAAGATCATTTACCAAGTTGTTTTATCATCTCCTTCCTTTTTTGAAGTTCACATTATGTAGAAATGCCACCCTCTTCACATCCTCAATTTATTCAGAAAATCTGTCCAATGCCAAGCCAGTTTCCCACATTCACTGAACACACCGTCACCAGGCAATCTTCTATTCCTCAATTATTCCTGATACCATATTAATAACTTCAGCATCCAAATTAATGACTCAATCCGATATCCTAACCTTATAATCCCTTAATCATCTATAAAACAATTCTGCTGTAGCAGCCCTTAATCTGGCCACATTCAAAATCACCTAGACTTTACCTTTTAATGTCTTCCAAGAAGCAAATAAGCACCCTATTTTAAGCTTAACTATCTTTTATTTCCTTTTGTCTCACTAATCCTACTATTCAACTACAGAGAAAAAATGCCTATCAGCAATTGGTTGACTCACTGCTTGCGTTCCCTAGGTTGTATGACCAATCACATCCCTGAATGATATATGGAGCCCCAATTATCAAAATCAATCTTAAAACCTAGGCTCTTTTGTTTACTAATTTTAAAGCCCAGATCATCCCAGTTGTTTATTTGCTCCACACTTTCTCATGGAAGGAAACAAGCTAGAAGAAGAGAGAGACAGTGGTTTCACTATTATATATGAGCTCCAAAGTCACATAGGCTTCAAATACTCAGGATTCCTTTTCCCTATCTTTATTTAATGTGCTTCCCTTCATCCAAGGTATTATTTTAAGCCACTACTTCATCCTTGCATCCTTCCCTTTCTGTTGCATCTTTCACTCTCATTTGATAATAAAAATGAACACTTATTGAGTACTCACATGCCAGTGACCTTTTTTTTTTCACTGAGACACAGTCTCACTCTGTTACCCCAGCTGGAGTGCAGTGGTACAATCAATCACAGCTCACTGCAAACTTGACCTCCTGGGCTCAAGTAAGCCTACCACCCCAGTCTCACTAGTAGCTAGAACTACAGGCATGTGCCACCATTCCTGGCTTATTTTTTATGTTTTGTAGAGATGGGTTTTTGCCGTGTTGCCCAAACTGGTCTCGAACTCCTAGGCTCAAGCGATCCACCCACCTCGGTCTGCCAAAGTGCTGGGATTATAAGCGTGAGTCATCATACCCCAACACCAGTGACTTTTACACATTTCACATGCATTAACTAATTCAATTCTCAGAACTTTATCAGATAGGTTACTATTATTTTCATCACTTTAAAACTGAGAGGACTCAAGTAAACTTGCTAAGTAAGGGTCTTGCAGATCTCTTTTAAATGGACTTGGGCTTTTACCATCCTTCTTCCAGAGGCTCAGAAAGTGCTTCTATTAGGTCACCAATGACTTCTAAATTGCTAAAAATCCACTGATCAGTTCTGAGTCCTTTATCTAACTTGACTTATCTGCCACTCTCCTTCATTAATAAAATTATCAAAGGGATCAAATGAAAATAATTTGTCATTTATTTCCATAAAGAAACAAGGCCAAAGCCTTGACTCTGGTCATAGAGCTACTTAGTGGCCAATGAGGCAAGTTTTTCCCAGACTTGTGATCTTTTCATTAAGTCAGAAATTTCCTTCCTTTATGATTAACAGACTACTAAAGGATGACTACTTCAAATGAAAGAAGGTTGCCTTGGATCTGCAGTTCATGAGAGAGCTCCCTCCAAGGGCCTCAGACTTCCAGCTTTTCCTGTCAGTAGCGTTATCCTCTGATGAAAGCTCATCTGGCAAACAATGGCTATACCTATTACACACATGGATATGTATTACACTTTTCCAGTGTTCAACCTCAAGGTGAGCCAAGGGAATTTGAAACCAGCAAAGTTTAGTTCCCTAGGCTAGCAAGGACAAAGCAGCATTTCAAAAGGTAATTTTAAAAAAGTACTTGTCCTTTCATTATTTGTTATTCTTCTTTCATTTTCTATAATCACACCCTCAACTTCTAAGACTGTTAAGACTTGTTTTTCTCAGCTCTCTGATAAGAGGGATCTACCCCTCCTATCACAATCTACACATATGAACCCAAATATCTCATCTTTCTTTCTTTCAGAATTTATATTCGTTCAATATCATTGAAGGCACTGAGATTAACCATAAAGACTCTCAGAAATATCCTATATGTATTTTAGTAAAGACTTATTCATCAATATATATCATTAGCAATAAATCTGGCACATACTACATATACTGTTATTTGTTAATAAACTGTTTCTAAGAAATTTAATCCTCTGTCTTATAAAACTAAGTAATTGTCTCGAGTTTACATCAAATTCCATAATATTTTCAATACAAAGATACTTAAAGAATGCTATATGAGTCATTTGATTCAACTCTTTTTTATTGTTCACAATTATCTTTCTCCTCTATCTATAATATTGTTTAATATTTTCCCACATTACAAATTATTCAAAGTACATAAGAAATAGATTTTCCATCATCAAAAAGCTGAATTATATATAACTGTCAGCAGCAACTAGATTTTTCAGCTTTGCTGTTTGTCATATTTCAGTATTAGAATAAATGACATTCTTTTAAGAATACCTTTGGTTTCTTCTACAGCAAGTTTATCACAAATCTGCTTTTCATAGGTACAAAGATGTTCCAAAGCTTCTCTATAGAGACCTGCTTCCCGAAGAACTTGATTCTGATATAGAAGTAGTTCACTATATTCATAGTCCACCTTATCAGGGGATGTCTGTATATGGATATAAGGAATAATGACAGTAAGAATTTTATTTTCATATCAGAAAATTGTTTAACTTCTGGTTAATAAAACTAATTTTTTAAAAATTCTTAAGGCTCTGTCTATGGAGCAACTAAGTAAATAATGACAATATTGGGATATAGCAGGTTGAATAAAATAATAATACATTAAGTCCTTACATACAATAAATATGGGGAAGAAGGGAAAGATCTTACTCAGCAGTAGAATGCCAAATAATAAACCTACAAGTATGCCAAGAATTAAGAAAATAACCATTTTGCAACTATCATGGTAATAGTTGATTCAGGCAAAAATCATAATCAATGAATGCTAAAACTAGATGGTGAAAGTTTGAACAGGCTATTCAGTCTCAGACTACATATTAAACACAAAGAGAAAAAAATAAGTTTACAGTTGCAAATACAACTATCACCATGTAATCAAAAGGAATGAACTGATGGCATGTGCCTCTTGATGGGATGAACTGAGAAGGACCCAACATCGCTTCTCTGGTTTCCTGCCAAGATAACAAAACTCTAACAATGAGGAACCATCACACAAATTCAAATTGACGGACATCCTGCAAGAGCACAGCCTTCTTCAAAAATGTCTATGTCATAAAATACAAAGGAAGTTGTCAAAACTTAGCTCAGATTAAGAGGCTGAAATGATAACTAAATGCAAGGTATGATTCTTTAATTTTTTTTTCCCCCAAGATAGAGTCTCAGTCTGTCACCCAGGCTGGAGTGCAGTGGCATGATCTTGGCTCACTGCAACCTCCACCTCCTGGGTTCAAGCGATTCTCCTGCCTCAACTTCCCAAGTAGCTGGGACTACAGGTATGTGCCACCATGCCTGGCTAATTTTTGTTTTTGTTTTTTTTTTTTAAGTAGAGACGGGGTTTCACCATATTGATCAGGCTGGTCTTGAACTCCTGACCTTGTGATCCGCCCGCCTCGGCCTCCCAAAGTGCTGGGATTACAGGCGTGATCCACTGTGCCCGGCCACAAGGTAAGATTCTTAATTTGGATCCTGCAATGAAATCAAATCACTAGAAAGGCTACTACTAGGACAATTAGTAAATTCTGAATATGGGCTGGGGATTAGATAACAATCTATCAATGTTAAATGTCCTAATTTCCATAATCTATCCATATAATACTACCTAGAGAACTGACTATACAGTTATTTTTAGAAAATACATACTAAAGCATTTACAGGTAAAAGAGTATGACGTCTTGCAATTAGTCTGAAATGTTTAAGGAAGAAAATTAAAATAAACAGATACACACATTTTTAAAGTAAATGTACCAAATATTAACAATTAGTTTAACATGAATGAACCCCTACGTAGAGTTCTTTGTGCTATTCTTGCAACTTTTTTTTCTATAAGTTTGAAACTATTTCAAAATTAAAAACCAGACTATGCACACTTTTTTAAGTTATACTTAGAATCAGACTTAGTAAAATGGCTTCTAGTTTCTACCTGTTGTGTTTTCCTAAATTCTTCTAAAATCTTTGCTGCCATTTCATAATCTTCTAATAAATGGTAAGCAATAGCATAACCAATCCATGATGCTCTCTGTGCAGGTCGAAGCTGAAGTAATTGATATCTCGTTTCCTTTCAAAGAAAAGAAAATAAACACTTTTTCTTAGGCTTTCAATTACAGCAAGTGCTCCTTTAAAAGATCATTATTAATTTATACCACAAACCTAAGCATTTTACAACACAATGCTGGGAACAATAACGGAAAATAGTTCAAACATCTATATTGTGTAGTTTTATGGAGGTAAAGAAATATTTGTTAAGAACATAATGAAGCCTCCAAGCTAATCTTAGATTTTTTTTTTTTTAAAAACTTAAGGCCAGATACCCTTCTTTATTTCTTGATCTGCTTACTCCAAGAAAAGAGACAGGATAGAAAAGATGGTACAAAGAAAAAATATTCAAAAATTCTTTTAAAAATTAAGTGTCCAACTACAGAGTTAAGATATATTTGGAGGACAATTCACAGCAGGTACTATCATATAAAAAAGGAAAGAATTTGAAAGAGGAACTAAATAGATCTAACACTGATTTAAGGGTTAAAACTGATACTACAAAAACATATTAGACTCAGTGGAGGCAGAAAGAAGAAACAAAACATTTGCTTTTGCCAGGTGTGGTGGCTCATGCTGATAATCCTAGCACTTGGGGAGGCTGAGGCGGGTGGACTGCCTGAGCTCCAGAATTTGAGACCAGCCTGAGCAACATGGTGAAACCTTGTCTCTACTAGAATATAAAAAATGAGCTGGGCATGGTGGCACATGCCTATAGTACCAGCTACTCAGGAGGCTTGAGACACAAGAACTGCTTGAACCCAGGATGTGGAAGTTCCACTAAGTTGAGATCATACCACTGCACTCCACCTGGGCAACAGAGCAAGACTCTAATGTCTAAAAAAAAAAAAATTGCTTTCCAGAAAAATGTGTGAAGTAAATGTTAGAGTTATATGTCAATACCAGACAGAAGCATTGTTTGAGGAGTACTGATGTCAATTTTAACAGATTAAGTTAACCCTACACAGTAGTCCAAATCTGCCTCATCATAAAATAATTTATTTATAAAGATCTGCTTATTCCAATCATAAACACAACCACTATGGCAGGAGGAAAAAAGGTATTCAATTAAATTCTCTTCAAAATAAAATAAACAATTTCTGTATTAGAAAGTACGCAAAGTTGTACGTATTTTCCCCTTGGAATAATAATAATAAAAAAAAATCTCTATTTTACTTACTCTGTAACCCTCAAGATCTCGCATTTGAATCTGTAGTAAGGAAAGGTCCCTTAAGATTTGAAGATTGTCTTTATCCCATTTTAGTGCATTTCTGTAACACTTAATGGCTTCATCATACTTCTTGTCTGACCTCTGAAGAAGGCCATAAACATGCCAACCTAAAGAATGTAGTTAAGGATACAACCTACAAGTCCAAAAGTACTAATCCAAATGACTTCCTAAAAAACTTGGAGAACTACAGCCATTTATAAAATTATAGGCTTAAAAAGAGGGAGAAGGAGAGACTTTAAAGCTACAAACCAGTTTAATACAGTGGAAAAGATCACAGCTTTTGGAGCCAGAGAAAATTAGGTCTAGCCTGTCTTATCAGCTCTGTAACCTTGGACAAATCAGTCTCAGTAAGTTTCCTTATTTATAAAATGTAAACAGAAATCGTCTATGCAGCAAATCATACTAGTGACAACTAAGTGGGACAGCATATATAAAGGGCTCACTGGCTGGCACAAAGTCAATATATATATATATATCTATGTAAGCAGTTACTTTATTACTAATAGTATAAGGAAAAAGAAGGAATGGGTCTTCATGGAATATAATTATGTAAAGTCGTAAAGATTTTATTCTCTTGAACTAACAAGGTCCTCAGGATAACCCTTAGTGTAATACAAACTTTCCAAAACTCAGCCACAACCCTTAGTATCATATAAAGTTTGTAAAACTCAGCCACAATCCTTAGTGTAACACAAAGTTTTTAAAATTCAGCCACACATAAAAACATTTCACTCATTTAACCAGTTATCATTTAAACCTTTTGCTTTTTTTTGAGACAGAGTCTTGTTCTGTCACCCAGTTTGGAGTGTCGTGGCATGACCTTTGCTCACTGCAACCTGCGCTCAAGTGATGCTCCCACCTCAGCCTCCAAGTAGCTGTGACTACAGGTGCTCACCAGCATGCTGGCTATTTTTTGTACTTTTGGTAGAGATGGGATCTCACGCAAGATGGTCTCAAACTCCTAAGCTCAAGCTTGGCCTCTCAAAGTGCTAGGATTACAGGTGTGAGCCCCACACCCAGCCTAAAACTTCTTAGTAACTAAGATGTAGGTCATCAAAATAGTTTAATATATTCAAAGATCTTAAAGTCTAGAAAAGGACAGACAAGTAAGCAAAATTAAAGTAGATTGTAAAAACTGCTATAAAGGAGGAAAATATTCTATCTACATCCCTAATACAGGCCTTTTTCACTTTTCTTAATTACTGTACCAGCTACCCAATCCAACTATCTTCAGTCTTTCTTTTATTCTTCTACCAAAGTAACTCGATTTTGTTTTGTTGTGTTTTTTAAACGAGACAGGGCCTTGCTCTCTCACCTAGGCTACAGTGCAGTGGCATGCTCATAGCTCACAGTAGCTTCAAAGTCCTTGCTCAAACAATCCTTCTACTGCAGCTTCCAGAGCAGCCAGGACCGCAGGCACAGTGCCACCACCACCACATGCAGCTAATTTTTTTTATTTCTATAGAGACATGGTCTTACTATGATGCCCAGACCAGTTTTGAACTCCTGGCCTCAAGTGATCCTCCTGCCTCAGCCTCCCAAAGTGCTGGGATTACCAGCATGAGTCACTGTGGCTGGCCCAAAATAATCCTTCTAAAACACAATCAAAAGAAAAAAGGGAGTCGAATTCCCTTTCCAGAAACTTACAATGTTTCTTTCTGAGATCAAGTTCAAACTCCAACCTGGCCAGGTGCAGTGGCTCATACCTATAATACCAGCATTATGGGAGGCAGAGGCGGGCAGATCACTTCAGGTCAGGAGTTCAAGACCAGCCTGGCCAACATTGCAAAATCTTGTCTCTACTAAAAATACAAAAAACACAAAAAGCATCCGGGCATGGTGGCTTCTGCCAGTATTCCCAGCTACTAAGGAGGCTGAGGCAAGAGGATTACTTGAACATGGGAGGCAGAGGTTGCAGTAAGCCAAGATCACACCACTACACTCCAGGCTGGGTGACAGAGTAAAACTCTTGTCTCAAAAAAAAA